AATTTTAAAATATGTCAAATAGCAACTGAATGAACCCATGAACACAAACAACTGGATGGTTCACTGGTTTGAGTGTCAGTTTTCCACTTTGAGGTTGAGGGATCGATTCCCAGATGCTGCATTTTCACAACCTTGCATTTTATTTTATTCACAAAAGAGTTTCTGCATTCAGCCTTTTTTTAACTTCTTCTAATGACTTTTTCTTATAATAAAATTTATTTATTTTGCAAATGTATTTAATATTTTTCTTATGAAAAACCTATACTTATTATTGCTAAAATAAATAAGGCCCCTCAAATTTGAAAGCCTAAATTAGTTGCCTTTTTTCTTAAAGGGACAGAGCCGCCCCTAACAATGGTGCACCCGTCTTCTTGAAATTCTAGATTCGCCTCTGGTATATATCATATATGACAGAAGATTTCATATATATAAGGGGCCTAACCCATCGGTGGCCCCCTAAACTTGGCACGATCTTTCACTTAGACACCTCAACTGGAGGATTTTCATTTTAAACACCTAACGTAGGGTTCCCATGTGTTACTTTAACACTTTTTGCACAGACATCTGTTGACCATAAGCGCGTGCAAGACAACCGTTCTACGTGGATTAACTGACCAATTATATGATGCCAACTCTTAAACCTCTTTACACGTCGTTTTTTTTCAAACTAAAAGAAAAATGGAACCATTCTTTGTGATTTTTCAACTTCCTTCTTACGATTCTCTCTCTTCTCCGATGAAAACCCTAGGTAAATCTCCCTTCTCTTCACATGTATTTCTTTGTTTTTCCTTCAATTCGTTGTTAGTAATAACCATTGTTGTATTTTATGTCGCCATTTTTCAGGTTTAAGATTGTATTGACGAGGTATCGGGCTGTGCGACATTGGAGAAATTGAAGAAATTAAAGGTAATGGTGTATTTTGTTTTCTACCTTAGTTTTTGTTTTCTTCAAGAAGGTGTATAATGTTGTTGAAGGTGTATATTGTTGTTGATTCCGCTTTCTTTATTTTCATTTTTAATATAGGTTTTGGCTGGTAAAGTAAGGGGCTTTTTGGGTATTTCCTTTTATTGGGGTCTTCTTTTCGAGATATGGACAGCTATATTTTAACTTGTTTTCATCATGGGGGGTGTGTTGTTGGAAACCCTAACCCTACTTACCAACGAGAAGTAGATGTATTTGGTGTTGGCATAGATAAAGACCATTTTAGTCTTGTCGAGTTTCTTTCCTACACTAAAGACCTTGGGTATACAAATGTGAAGGGATTTTACTGTGAAGATAACAATGAATTAGTTCAAGTTACTTCTGATACTCAATTGTTAGAATTTGTGAAAGACTTGGTAGATGGTGATGAGTTTCATGTGTATGTGGTCCATGAAGTTGATGAATTGGAAGAATTGCCTGCTCCAACTGGTCTTTTACCATGGTCTGATCCTGTTGATGAATCTGTGGGTATAAATACTGAGGGAACTGTGGAGAATGATTCTGATTTGAATGGAGTTGATACAGAACTGCCTGGAGGTGATACAAATCAGAATGAAGTTGAATCAGATCTGCCTAGTAGTGACACAGATGTAGATGTTATTCCAGATGAAGATGATTCAGATGTTGATGAAGAATTGAGATCCCTTAGGGCTGAAAGGAGAAACAAAAGAAATCCTAATTTTAGGAAGAAGAAAACAATAACTAAAGAAGTACCAATAGGTGAGGCTGGTGTGGATAGAGGTTTTGAAGATATTGGAATAAATAAAAAGGATAGATATGTTGGCAGATTGGGAGGAGATGAGAAGTATATTGATAGCTCAGAATGTGATAGTGATGATAGCACTGATAT